TTCAAGGTCAAAGTTACATAATCGGTTTCTTGTAAATATCTCGCTTCCTATTTTTAAACCATTTACAAAAACATATCTTTACCTTCTTTATTAGCCCTTAATAACCCACTATTGGACTTGCGTTACTACTTATGTTACAGAGAAGATTTTTCATAGTCCCACGTTTGTCAAGCGGTTTGTTAACAAAGTACCAAGTTTATCACTGTCTTCGGTTTAGGTTTCGGATATCAGGCATATAAAAAGTTTTTTTTTATAGGAGAGAGGGCAAACGAGCATGCGGCTCACCTGATGGTAAGTGACTGCCCAAGAACAACTGCAACACCAGGGGAATTGCAGATGCGTTGCCGGCCTTTCAAAAAGGAGTAGGCTATTTTCTTAAAGGTCCCGAAGTCGTATCGGTCCGGTTCTTGAAAGTCCCTAAATCGCCGGTGGTAATCGATTCCACGGGGAAGTTGTGCGAGGAAGAAAACATCTAAATCGCACAGTGGTTGACCGCCAATCATTCAGATGGTATGGATGGTATCGCGAGTTTTGTCGCGATGTGCGATGGTGAAATTGAGCGGCTGGAATTAGTCCGAACAATTCCTCAGAGCACTACCCGTTGTACATGCGATAAAATACTTAAAGAGATGTAACTTCTCTACGCAGTGCCAGTGAGTCAAGCCGATGGGAAAGAACTCGGTCGTCGACGATTCGAACCGTTTTAGTTTTAATTTTATATATAGTTTTATTTTGGAGTATCAACAGCCATAAACTTAAAGAGTTCTTAGTTATATGTATAATGTTACAATCTTGACAGGCCAATTACAGCTATTCACATGCTTTAGGTAAAGTCATAATCACAATTACAAAACATACTAAGTTAACTACTCATAGTTAAACTGATGTCATTCATATATTAATGACTTATCTTACATAGTAGGGGATAACCATGATATAGTTTTGTTTGCTGATGACACTTCATTAATTTTTAACGATTAAAACGATTAAAATTTAAACAACTATGACTAAGTAAATAATGCTATATCTAAATGTTAAACATTTAAATACTAATGTAATTTTGAATGGGGAGGAACTGATTCGACGCGACGCTTCAATGGAGCCTCCATATATCAAAATTAGCAAGCAGGCTTAGTTCTGCAGCATATGCTGTAAAAATATTAGAAATCTTACCAATGTTGAAACAGCTAGCATTGTTTACTTTAAGTATTTCCATAGCATAATGTCGTATGGTATTTTGCTATTGGGACACGCAACTGACACTAAAATTATATTTGTTTTACCGAAGAGGGTCATAAGAGCAATGATTCAAAACCTAAGGAGTCGCTCCGACAAAAATTTAAGGAAATTAATATATTAACTCTGGCCTCCCAATACATTTATGAAAATGTACACAATAATAAAAGTAGTTTTACAAAAATAAGTGATATTCATAATGTAAATATTAGGAACAGACACAAGTTAGTAGTACCAGTTACTCGACTCCAACGAATCAGTAATACTTAAATAGCTCTTGGGGAATTATAAAAATACTTAAATAATTCTTGGGGCGTTGTAAACGCATTTACAACAAAATCCCAGAAAACATACAAAATTTGACCTGCTCAGAGTTCAAAAACTTAATTAAACTAAGTTTGTATAAAAAGGGTTATTATAATATTAAGGAATTAATGGATGATAATAACCCCTGGGAATGAGTTGATCGCTGCCAGGCTTTTCTAATTTGTTTTTTGTTGTTAATTGTGTAAAATATATGATTTTAAGATGTTATTAAAAACAAAGTTCTGCAGGGTTACTTGCTGGTTCTTCCCAGGAGAGAGATTATTTTTCGAACTAGTAGTAATTAAACATAAGAGTGACTTTCAATAATTATTATTTATAATTTACATTGAATAAAAGAAAATCTGTTTCTGTATTCTATTGTCACCTTTCAAAGCATTCATAGAACTACTAGAGGTTATGTATTCTCTAAACACCGTGACCACGCGACAAAATAATTTCATTATAACATATTATCTATTATGGTTATTAAGAAGTTTTTCGGGACGTGGTTTCGATGAAGCTCACGGACGACTGAGGGAGTGTCATAATGAAAGTGATGTAATTACTTTATGTTCGCAAATTATAAGATAGCTATACAGAGCACGCGCTCGGAAATAAACGACGTAAGCGCCAAACATTTTGTTAAATAAAACTATGTTGTAGATTAAAAAAATGTTATATATGAAATTCGATATGATTATTTATTAATAATTATTGCTTTGAAAATAATTTCGTAAAAATATTCTGGTGGCATGGAGAAATGTAACTAATTAGAGTCTACTTTACAATTTTTTCTATCGAGTGAATTATATGTTCAGATCAAGATCATAAAGTCTAAAAACATATAATTAAAATTTGGTTCATAATCTTTAAAACTTCAAAAAATATGTGAAATAGAGAACGACCAAATTTTCGAGGTATAAACTTAACGCAGACATCTCATTATAAACACTCATCACCATTTTAAATGTCACCAATTTATTTAAATATAAAGGCCTACTGTCGAACTTTTAAGTACTACTAGTAACCAGTTATACAAACATCTAACATAACTAGTCTTTACATTTTAGTTCGGCTCGTGGCTTAATTTGCATTTATAGTTCAAACGTAAGATATGCCAATATGGCCTAAAGCTACGAGTATCTTGCGTCTGCGATGAATTCTATTAAATAATGTACATTACCTGTCAACATACCGAAAGTTTATGTATGCATAATTAACTTAAAAGTGTTGACTACCGTTTATAAAATACGTTTGTAAGCAGGAAGCGGCCTATATTAATAATAATAGTCCTCCAGTCCAGGACAGGTTTACAGTGCATGAGTTTATGCGCAAGCGCATGTGCATCTCTATTCCCTCACCCTTGTAGATTGAAGGGGAGGTAAACCGACACGAAAGAGATTAGGTGCGGGATCAACGGCTTTACGTGTTTTCTGAGACACGGGGATGAAACACCGCCAACTTCCTGACGCCGTACTGCTTCTGAAAATTTCTTGATAGAAAAATTAATTTAAAAACTGATTTCGGCCCGACAAACCAAGTATTATTACGCTGCTATTTCACGATTCGCAATTTGAATCCGGAACCACATAATCAGTAGTCATGGTGGTGGTTCCCAACTTGTTGCTTTTTTCATTCATTTTTCTTTTTCCTAAGTGTAAGCATCGCACCGGTAAATGAAATGTAGAACGGCCCCCGACTAGATGGAGTGACAATCTGTACTGTGTTTTGTGGCGTGCCTTGGGGAAAACCTATGTTCAGCAGCGGACTTGTGAAAGGCTGTAATCATAATGATAATAATAAACAGACACTAAAACTCTTTCTTTGGTTGACAGAACACACCGCGATCAGGTCAGATTGCCATTTGGAGAAGAAATTTGTATGTTCCGCGAGTGCAACTCTATCATTTGTATGGTTTTACATAGTTTTCGTTTCATTCACGCTGCAGTGAATTGTGAATCCAATGTTTAATTAAAATATGTGTGTGTGTGTGTGTGTGTGTGTGTGTGTGTGTGTGTGTGTGTGTGTGTGTGTGATAGGGTAAGTACCCCGCTCGCACAGAATATCAGCGTGAAATAGCAGCATAATAATACTGGGTTTCGTGTGGATAGTGCGTGACAAAAACCGCCTTTCATCTTCGTCTTAAGAGTGACAAATGCATTTTGATTCTTAATCGATGAATGTCATTGAATCATAACACCTATGTAACATCAGGTAGACTGTGTGATCCTGTGTCACTTGCTTTTTTAAGTGTTAGTGGGTAAAGTAGAGTCAAATATGTGATACGCCTGGAACTACTACTACTCAATAAGGCTGTTGTGCGTGGTGATTACTGCAAATTCACTCTTCTATAGAAGTGGCACACGTGTTGAAAGAAGCTGTGACTGAATTAAAAAAAGGATGAAGATCATAGAGTCGCAATTAGAAAAATATAAAAAAATAACATTTTTAATTTTAGTATTTTGTCAGAAAATTGATTTTCATAAAAGTATAGTTTATTAGACGAAAATAATCGTTATAATGTATTTAAATTTATGTTGAATGTCATTTCATATTCAAGTTATAAGGTTAAGTTATAGGAATGTATTTAATTGAACTTGTAACGCGTTATGCTAATATTTGTATGTTAGATTATTATTAGTAATGTTACTTTGTTGATTTAAAATATTGTTCTTGGGTGACCGAACGTTGCTCAGCTTTAGCCAAAAAAAATAATTTTCTCATTGATGGTACATACATAAACTTGGAAAGTAAAACATTATCATTAGTTGACTCCACCGAGTCAGTTATAATTTATTCTTGGGGCGAAGTATACGCTTTTACAACAAATTTCCATAAAATAAATTTATACTTGCACAAAGTTCAAAAAGTTTAATAAACTAAGTTTGTATAGAAAGGGTTATTATAATATTAAGGAAATTATGGATGATAATAACCCCTGGGAATAATGTGGTCACTACCAAGCTATTTCTAATTTGTTTTGTGTTGTTAACTGCGAAACATACATGATTGCAAGCTGTTATTATTTTTTTAAAAGATCCGCTGGGTTTCATAAGGGTTCATCTCCATATACCTACACCCTGCTAACTGACTAACGAGGCGCTGGCATCTAACTATTGGCGAAAATCCATCTTAAGACGAAACCAAACGGTTTGATTTAACCAAATAGTTTGATTTGCCGGCGTCTATCTTTTCGTCTTGATTATAATCTGGATGATTACAAGTCAAGAGAAATGGAACAGGACATGAATAGGCTTTTGTTATAAGCGATTTACCATCTAGGGCTTAATCGACATTACCATCAGGTGTGAATGTAGTCACAAATAAGTATAGTCAGTGCAGTTTTGAATTAATTTCTGATAGAATCACAAATATGGTGTCGTAGGTACTTGAAATCAGCTTGGAAAATTTTATGTGTATAAAAGTGTAGTGTTTTCTTGTTTCAGGTCCTCATTACCATGAAACTCCTTCGAATGTTTGACAACGCGCAATCCCCAAGTATGGCTTCGAAGCCTGTCACGGTGATGCACCATGGCCAGTACACTGTGGGAGAGACAACGGGCGGCTTGAGCGTACTGTTCACAATGCTATGTATAGTGGATCTTTTTGGAGTTTTTCCAATCGTAGCTTTGCCAAAATGCGTCATCGCTTGCGGTTTGTAATTTCAGATACTTTATAGTTTTTTTTTACCCTACAAGTTTGACTTATCATATTTTTATTTTATTCTTACCCTTACAACCTATTAAACTCTACTACTGAACATAGGCCTCGTCCATAGATTGCCTCATAGAAGCGCCATTTGCCACAGTTTTATAACGTAAGAGACTTATCCTGCAAGGGATTATTTAAAAATGTATCGTAAGGTCATATAGATGAACATTATTTGAACTCTTTTGACCTATTCTATTATAATGTAAAAACAATGTAACACACATCTTTTACTCATAAATAAATCAAAAATGGTTTATATAAATGTAATGGTAGTATTCGTCACCCTATAGATTGCCTCATAGGGAGGATATTTGCCATAGTTGCCATGCTTGGCAAGCGGGTTGGCAACCGCACCGTTTTTATTTTTAGTTGTTATTAAGAAGACGCTACTGCCCATCTCCTGATTTGTTTTCCTCTGTCGCCTCTTATGGGTGTTGCACGGGATGATATGGGTTTTTTCTCTTAATATTAGTAACATATTGATGTTTGTTGATTTTATGCATACTTTTCAACTATATAAAATGACGATATAAGATGTTACATGTTTCTTGTCATTAACAAAGTACTGTGTGTAAGTCTTTTTAAATGCTTATATTGTGTGTAAGAGGATATTTCACCTTCTTGCTTTCTTTTTCCTAAATTTGAATTTTTCATAGAAGTAAGGGTCGCAAGAGAACACACTGTCCATCTGGTATTATGTCAATGCTATTGTCCATAAACACCTTCATCTGTCCTCAGTTAAAATCAAACTGCAATTTCGTTGTCACCCCTGAGAATTAAGATGGAATGTCCCGTTACCAGTAAAAGGGTATCCGTACTCACCATACAAGACACTAGTTTTCAAGCGATTTCTCAAAAAGAATGGTTCTCAATTCGATTGCTTTTTTTGAAATTGTGTTACCTCAGAACTTTTTTCTAGGTGAACCAATTTTGATGCTTTTTATTTCAAAGCTTGCCCTTTTCATGTGGTTCCATGTTTTCATCAAGATCTAACTAGTAAGTTTTGAGTTATTTTGAGACCGTTCTTTGTAGTAAACTGCAGGGAGGCCCATGTGTAGCAGTAGATCATGATGGGCTGAAACGATGAATAAATGATGTTAGTGCTTTATGGTAATTAAATTTAATAATTTTACGAAGTATGAATCATTTACTGGTGAAATTTCTGTCCAGGTCTGTACGGTATTCCGTTGGTGATAGTTGTTTTCTCTCTACAACTATATACAGCTGTATTACTCGGCAAGAGTTGGCTGCTAGCTTATGAACTATCGCCAAATATAAGAGAAAAAAGCAGGTACGTTATAATAGATAACTAATAACCTCCTTTCTTTAATACTATGTAACGTGTCATATTTTTAATTTTAATTTATTGCAAAATATCGAAAGTCCACAGCTAATCATAGATCACCCCCATAAATTGCCTTACAGTGTATATTTGGCGTAATTACCACGCTTGGCCGGCGGGTTGGCGACTGCAGTGCTTAATTTTTTTTTTAGTTGTTATTAAGAAGACCCTGTTGCTCACCTCCTGGTTTGTTTCCCTCTGTCATCTCTTACGACACCCACGAAACACTGTGGTGTAGTGGATATTCTTACACTGCAACTACACGGCGATTGTTATAAGAATCGCAATTTTTACGTATTTTGAGCTCTTAAATCCTTTTAAGAAAAGCAGTATCTTCCTAGATACTGCTTTTCTGCTGTGTGCGTCTAGCAGTGAAACTTTACGGGATGATAAAGAAAGAAAGTAGAAAGATGTATACGTGAGCGCCTGTTAAGAAATTGAACATGGTATCGCCATCACTTGATTATTATTTAAACTTATATTATTTTATTTATTTTTTTATAGAATTAGGGCGTCAAGCGAGAACCCACCTAATGGTAAGTGGATGCTGTAGCCCATAGACATCTACATCTATCCTCGATTAAGAATCAAAATGCAGATGCGTTGTCACCCCTGAGGACTAAGATCGAACGCCTCGTATCTAGTAAAAAGGGCCTCTGGTTCTCATATAACTTTCAGTAAGTATTCTTGTAAACTATATTGAATAAAAATTAAGCGCTTCGTCTATTTTCCTTCATTATTTTGAGCCTATAATGAAAGATGCACATCACCCACATAGACTTTCACAGGTTGTTACAGAAGAAGTGATGAATTATAGACCCTAAAATGTATTACCGTTTTGCCTAGTGGCGACAAAAGAATCCGTTAAGTCACATCATCCCGTGGGTATCGTAAGGGACAATAGAGGGAAACTGAAATAAATAAAAAAAGTTATTAACATCTTCCTGATAACAACTCAATAATAAAAATAATAATAAACGGGTCATCTGAAGCGACAGGAAATCCGTGACAGAGCCACGGACCAAATGCAAGGAGGAGGGGGCCTAAGTAACTGTGCACTGTGATTCTAACTAGGTCCTGACGTCATCACAGTGGGCGTGGCTTTAGTTAGTAAACTGTCAGCGTTCGTCCTATGCGCTTATCTGTCGAAAATCGCAAATCAGTGTATTTTCGTAGTATTTAAAAGAAAAAGATGGAGTGCTGTGTTTTATCGTGTAAAAACTACTCTGATGGAAGCTCTGATGCTATGGATGACATCATATTTCATTTGTAAGTAATTTTATATTTAAATTTAATAAAATAGTTCTGGTAAAATCTCTACGTCGGTTTTTAAATATAATTAAATATATTCGACATTAGATGGCGACACTTTGTGTCATGTGAACTAAAAATATAAAGTTACGTAGAGCTCAGTGTTGGTAAAATAATCATACGAAGGTGCTGAAATTTGTTTTGCATTCAGTCTTATAGAATTTTTATTCGCCAAAATATTATTTTTATAGTTATTATAATCATTTTGTGAACAGGCTGCCATCTATCGTCAAGGTAGCTAAACTACATTGCGATATCGATATGGAACGATGCGAGTAATTTTACTATTTATCGGTAGATGAAAAATAGTTAAGTGGGCGGGCCTTAACACCCTCTCACCCCGCAAATTGTCACGCGTTGTTACATAGTGAAATCTAATTACAACACCTCTTTGTATTTGCTCCGTGGACGGAGCGCTCCGGTCTCAGATGCAGAATGCGGTGCTCATCGATATCGCCCGCATCGTCGACTGAATTCTTTCCTTTTTCTTCTAACCCTCGGCCGTTTGGTTTCTTTTGCGCAAGGACTGCCATCTATTTGGGTTGTTTGGGTTTATTTATATGTGAATTATTAATTATTTATTTTACTATAGTGAAGTCATATTTAAGTATATTTATAATTTTCTTTGAATATTTATACAATTGAACCAGATGGGAATATTATATTAATACTACAATAATGATAATAATTTAAAATTGTGGTTGCCAACCCAGGCGGAGCAATTATGGCTCTAGTATATTATATAAGTAATTTAATATATTGTTTTGTGTTATTTAGTTATAAGGTAAAATGGGCCTTATGAGGTAATCTTTGGGAGAGATTTTTCAGCAGTGGATTTTTGATGTTTAATGAATAAATGAAAATTGTATTACCAGATCACCATATGCTGCAGTGGCTGAGCTTGCGTTCGGTGACAACGCGAGAAGGCTGGTCACATTCTTCATTGACGCGACGGTCTTCGGAGCCGGTGTACCTAATTTTATATTTGGTTTGTGAATAACATAGTTACAGTCTGTAAGGAGACAGCAACAAACGAATCTGTAGCTTTCTTTGTTCGCAGTTGCTTGCAGGTGTCTATAAATTGCAACAGCAATATTACTATCAGGTCTACTGTTAGCTCGTTTTTGATTTAATATTATATATATACGAAAGGTACATAAAACAATCTCCAATAATCTGTCAATTAATACCACAGTTCTAAAATTCTTCGCACGCATATTTGAAGTGAAAACCACCTGATTTTGGTAAACCCTCAACATTTTATGCAGGTTTGACTTCATAGAAAGCTTGAAAATCTTTGAAAGCAGCAGTATTTTTAAGGCTTCTCTGAAGGTGATTGTACACATTGTGGCTCAAATGTTGTAGCAAGTTACTAAGTCTGGTACATGCATGACTAGCTATCAGATGGATAAATGTCATGCACATTTTGAAACAAATAATTACAATACGCTATGAAACTGACTGAGTGTGACCAGAGTATTCCAGATTTATTATCATCCAAGGATATATTATATACTACGAGTAGTTCTTATATAATACAAAGTATATATAAAATATATGGTATATATAATATTTATACTATCATTGTGGCATAGACAACCAACAAAAATAGCATATTAAATGTATACTGAACAGTGTTCGAGGGGAATAAAGGTCTAAAGGGAAAACTTATTCCAAACGTGGGGTACTGAAATAATTAAAGTAGAAACACAGCTGTTGAACATATAGATCTCCCTCTTAGATTGCTTCATCGGGGGGAATTTTGCCATAGTTGGCTCGCTTGGGAAGCAGGTTGACAAGGTCTTTTTTCATTTATTTTGAGGTGTTATCATATAAATGCGTCTGCCCATCTCCGGTTTCAGGTTGTCTCCGTAGCCTCTTACGATACCCACGGATTGATATGGAGTAGTGAATTGTTTGACACTGACTTTTAGTATGTATTTTCTTATAGGATAGGATGACAAAGGAGCACACAGTCCATCTGATGGTAAGTGGTTGCTGTGACCCATAGACATCTACATTTATCATCAATAAATGATCAAAATGCAGATGCGTCGTCACTCGTGAGTACTAAGACGAAATGCCTCTTTTCCAGTAAAATGGGTTTCCGGTTCTCTACACTCACCACACGAAATACAGCAGTGTCAAGCTCCCATTTTACGCTGGTAATCTGTGAGAGCGTGGTCCTTCCCCGGTCGAGCCGACCCATTCGTGCTACAACTATACTACGAATATACCTGAAAATCATTGAACAATGTTCTGATTAAGTGGTCCCGGTATTCCGTGGCGGGCCAAAAGAATTGCTGGGCTTTTCTTTTAAGAATTTTTGGTTACAGCCCAAATTCAGTTAATTGGATGTGCTTCATCCCTGTGCCTATCCGCTCGTGTCGGTTTGCCGTCCTATTGGACACAGTAAGGGGTATAGAGTATACCTGTGCTTCGCACATGCTCGTGTATTCTATTCTGCGCAAATGGCTAGTGCCCGTTGGAACTGGCCGCCGCGACTGGAATTCTCATCGAGGACACCTTATATGTCCACAGATATGCAGAAATTTTAAATGCGTGGTGTTTTTATTCCGCTAGCGTCGCAAAGCATGCAGCTGTTCTGGTGGAAGATCACGGGCGGGGGCATCGGAATAACTTACTGCGTGTGGATGATCCTCATTGGGCTGCTGCTGTGCCCCGTTATGTGGCTGGGATCGCCCAAGGACATGAAGTGAGACAAAGTTTTGTTTACAGATTTTTTTTTACTCTATAATTACGTCTTTGTGCCACGTTGTGGTTTTATGGCTACAGTTTTATCGATTTATCGGGAAAAGATATTCATAGAATATGGTAAGAAACAGTTTTACTAGTCAATTGTTTTATTTCTAGGTCCTTATCCTTAATATCGGTTTGCATCGTAACTACAGTAGCAGCAACCACTTGGAGTTGTATTATAACGGACGATGTGTCGCCGACCAGCTTAGGGGGTGTACTGGATTATACACCCAAAACTTCAGATTTTCTTGTAGCTTACGGAATTATTGCCTTCCAGGTATTATTTATTAACGTTTTTTGTTATTTTTTTTATTTATGTTCACAAAAATAAGTGATAAACATTGTATAAATTACAAAAGGAACAGTCACAAGCTAGTAATTCATTCATGGAGCAATTATATTACAATAAAAACATGTCCACAAAAATAAGTGATAAACATTGTATAAATTACAAAAGGAACAGACACAAGCTAGTAATTCATTCATGGAACAATTATATAACAACAAAAACGCTATTACAAAAAAATCCCATAAAATATTTAAGGTATCTAATACCAAGGTTAAATTTTTATTATGAAAGACTGCATAAAAAGGGTTAAAAGGGTTAGGGATAACAAACCTTGGGGATCTGGTAATTGCTTCCCAGCTGTTTCTTAAATAAATTTTGTAAGTAATTATACAACTTGTGTTTTTTTCTTGTTTAATTTCCCAGAAAAGTTTATGTTCGAACCAATGGTAGAAGTATAAAAATGAGTTTTAATAAATATTATTTATATATTGTCTCTAAATAAATTTAAATGCTTAAATAACACGTGTTCAGCGTTGAAGGAAATCATCGTGAAGAAACCTGCAAAATGAGTGAAATTAAAAAAAATGTTTGATGTCCACCAACACGCACAGAGGCAACGCGGCGGACATTTTGCTTGCCCTAAATATACTCTCAAAAATGGGAGGAGACCTACTACCAGCTGAGACGCATAGAGGCTGTAAAGTTGCTTTACTTTTTATCTATAAATATAAATTAATTTTATATGTTTGTCTGTAATATTTATTATTGACAGTAAATAATATTAAGCTCAAGAGGTTTGAAGCAAAGAGATTGCTATTATTAGATTATTATTAGAGCCATGCTGCAGCTATCTTAGCAGTATGGTTGTAGCATGAATGGGTCGGCTCGACCGGGGAAGGACCACGCTCTCACAGAATACCAGCGTAAAATAGCAGCTTAATGCTGCTGTGTTTCGTATGGTGAGTATAGAGAACCGGAAACCCTTTTTACTGGAAACGAGGCATTCCATCTTAGTCCTCACGGGTGACAACGCATCTGCATCTTGATTCGTAATCGAGGATAGATGTGGATGTCTATGAGCCACAGTAACCACTTACCATCAGGTGGACTGTGTGCTCGCTTGTCACCTTTTTTATATAAAAAAATGCATAAACATTTTTTTTAAATTTTGTCTGTCAGTTTGTCCAGGCTAATCTTTGGAATGGCTGAACCGATTGTGATGAATCGTTACGAAAAGATAGAGAGCAATTCCCGGAGGGACTTTGGCTATATTTTATCCGAAAAACTTGAAGATTACTTTTTTGAAATAAACAAAAATCTTCCCTTCTTAAATTCTAACACATTAGTAGACCCTATTTAGGTAAAGTCAGGGCGGGTCGCTAGTATTGAATAAAAATATCCTATGCGTAGATTTCAGCTAAGAGGTAGTCGATCTTGCTTTTTTCCGAAGAATATATGTACTTTCACAGCAGTATCATATTTTAAACTGCTTTAATAAATCATTTTTATGTGGTAGAGTCGTGACACAATCGTACTTTGACTGCAGCACGAATGCTCGACCGGGGTAATACAAGCTCGGACAAAATACCAGAATAAATTTAAGTATTACTTAATGCTTTGACATAATATGTAATAGTCAGTGACGAAAACCGGAGATACTGACACTTGGCATTTCATCTTAGATCTTGTTAGTGGTATTGCATCTGTATTTTAATAACAAATAGCCTATCAAAAGTCCACTGCTGAACAAAGGCCTCGGATTGGTAACCGCAGATTTTCTCTAGATATGTTATTAGGAAGACGCTGCTGCCCTTTTCCTAGTTAGTTTCCCTTTTACGACACCCAAACGACGATAAGGGGTAGTGGATATTCTTACACCGCCACTATACGGTTACCAGCCACTACACTGTGAATCCACATCGAATCGAAATTATATTTTTATATTTTTTATTAGTTATATAGGCCACATCATTAACTTACAATTAGGAAAACTGTGTGCTTGCTTGTTACTCACCCATACTAATTTAAAAACATGTTAAATTATATTTTGATTTATTACGAAGCAAGTGCCAAATCAGTGCCTTGAATGGTAACAAAATATAAATTCTCTAAAATGTAAGGCGAGCGTTCTGTCGCTATAGAAAATATTACGACAAAATCTTTTAGCGAGGAAAAGTGCATGTCCAGCATTATTTAGCTGTAAGTAACTGATAATGAAGAAGAAGATGTGCCCTCAATTCAAAATATATTTTAACTTTTCAGTTTGACATACACCCGATGCTGCTAACGCTGCAAGTAGACATGAAGGACAGTAGGCGTATCAATGTCGCCGTTTTCGGTGCTTTCATAATCACTGGCGTCATGTTCATGGTCACGTCACTGCTCGCTGCCAACCGGTATGGGAACAGCGTCGAGAACAATATACTGCAAGGTTGGTAGTTATAATTTTAATCGGAATATTTGTTATCATTCTTAATACAAAACTCAATCATAGCCGTCGTAGCCAATATGATGTAATATGTTATGAATAAGAACTAGTTCTGTAGTGATTGTTCCGTGTAACCACCAACAGCCTTACGCTATTTATATGATAAGTCTGGAGACACTTTTTACAGGTAACATGGTATTCCATTAAAGTCCCCAGTGTGCTCTTACATCGTCCCGCCGCTTTTTGTATGAGCTTTAGGTACACCGCGGTTGATCGTTCCAACAATTCCACCTATGCTATAAAAATACATAGCCTGAATATAATACAAAATTTAAAATATATATATATACTATCTATAAATTTAGCAGGGATGGAAGATATGATAAGGATATAGAACGACGAGTGAATGCAGGAAATAGAGTGAATGGGGCTCTACACTCTATTGTGAAAAGTCAGAATGTGTCCAAAAAGGCACGTATGGCAATTCACAATGCTGTGTTAGTACCTACTTTAATGTATGGTAGTGAAAGTTGGGTGTGGCAGAAGAAGCATGAGAGTAGAATAAATGCTGTAGAAATGCGGTCGGAGTATGTTAGGGATGAAGCTGAATGACAGAGTGAGAAATTGTTTAATAAGAGAAGAGTGTGGTTTGCAAGATGATATTGTGACCAGGATTAAGAAAGCAATGCTTCGGTGGTTTGGCCATGTAGAAAGAATGAATGAGGAAAGAGTGACAAAGCAAATTTATGTTGCAGAGGTGAACGGCATAGTCGGGAAGGGTCGCCCTAGGCGAAAGTTTATCGACCAAATTGGCGATATATTAAAAATGGGCCAAATTAAGAGTACCTTTAACCGACGAGCGTGTATGCGTAGGTATATGGATGTGGAGGAAGCGAGAGAGGTGTGTCAGGATCGTGCCAAATGGAAGTCCATAATATCTGCCTACCCCTCTGGGTGTCCAGTCCACTGTTACAATCCGTTCGGGCCCACCAAAGAGTATATAATTAATAATGCTGTTGTTTTGGCGACAGCATAAGCTATGTGAGGTTCCTTTGCCTAACGCGCCACAACACACGCGAGGAATGTATTTTAATTGGAATTTGTACGTACTTCTGTTAAATGCTATCTAAAATTACTTTATTTGAGGTCATGAGATCGAGAAATCTTTTTCTGTTTCGATCCAAATAAAACGAATGTGAAAAATGTACTAGATATAGGCCTGGAACAATGAAATAACATGATAACCAATTGCATGTTTTGAAGAAAGAAGATGCTAGAAAAGAAAAACAAACAAATGAATTTTTTTTATTTAAAGTAGATTTTTAAACTGTAATTGCATCTAATTCAAACGTCAGCACATGTACTGAAGTGCATATTCTGTGCTTTTATATTAATATCAGCAAAGATGTCTATTGTTTTGTATAAACCGAAACGAAGAACGAAGAAGAGGGGATCAATGCAGATGAGTTTACCCCTATTTGGACATAGTTTATTGAGGAAAGGATTTTGTCTAAAGTGGAAAATAAAACGGATTATGTATTATTATTTATGCCGATGACTATGGTTATCAAAATTGCAACGTAAGTACTACCAGATGCGCTTCTAAATATGAAACTTAAAAACAAAATAACCATAGAGCCGAAATATTACGAAGTCGGCCATGCAGAAATAGAAATGGATAGTATGCATTTCCCTAATATAACGGAGAAAGCGTGATAGGATCATAAATGTCCCTATTACGGTCAAATGCTGAGTCGCAACAATCTATTTGATATCAAATATTTAGAACATAGTTTTTTTTTTATCAAAGGTGTTATGTATGTAAGCTGCGACCGCTATGCCGCCGGGAGTAGAAAAGGAACGCTTATACGCACAAGATTTCACGACATTGACCTTAGTGAATGCGGTTGATATGGCGGAAAGTATGCGCAACGCGCGCGACGCCGCGAGCAGCGCCAGCGTCGGCGCCGCCGCCGACAGCGTCGCCGCCGAGCAAAGCCTCTTCAAAATTAAGAAGAGAGAAAATGAAAAAGTGAAATGTGCAGTGTGTGGATACTCAAATCACAAAACGGCTGACTGTCGCTATGCCGGCTATACCTGTAAAAAATGTAATGTTAAAGGGCATTTACGTAGGATGTGCAAAAAAGTGAATTATGTGTTGGCAGACAATGTAGGCGAGGAGGACGACGGTGAGTTATTTAATATTCGATCGCTTAAAGGTGAAACTATGGTAGAAACTGTATTTGTTAATGGGGTAAATTTAAGGTTCGAAATAGATAGTGAAACTCATTTTAACGACGTGCCATTGTCAGCTACCAATAAAAGGCTAATGAGCTATACCGGTGGCGAGATAGCCTGCGCGGGCGTCGCCACGGTGTCGGTGCGGTTCGGAGGGAGCACGCGCCCGCTGCGCCTGTTCGTAGTACGTGGCGGGGGAGCGCCGTTATTAGGAAGGGACTTTATTTCTTTGTTTAGATTACAACTGACACCGATTAATTACTGTAATCAAATTCAAAATGAAATTGACTCATTACATTTACGGTATCCCGAAACCTTTTCAGGTAAGCTAGGGTGTTTTAATAAATACACAGTAACCCTGACCTTAAAAGACGATGCCCATCCATGTTTTTTTAAAGCCCGTCCTATGGCTATCGCTTTGAGGGAAAATTTCGACAAAGAAATCGATAAAATGGTGGAAATGGGAGTACTCCGTCCCGTAGAATATTCGGAGTATGCGTCTCCCATCGTTCCAGTTTTAAAGCGAGAAGGCACCGTTCGGATATGCGCCGATTATTCAGTTATCATTAATAAACAACTCGTCGTAGAGCAATACCCCTTACCGACAATTAACGAGTTATTTTCAAAATTGTATGGTGGTAAACAATTCACAAATTTAGATTTATCAATGGCTTCCAACCAATTTTGTTTAGACGAATCTCAGAAAATAACATGTATAAACACACACCGCGGCCTATACGTATACACGAGGCTCGTATTCGGTTTGGCGTCAGCTCCGGCGGTGTTCCAACGCGCCATGGAGTGCGTGGTAGCGGGACTGCCGGGGGTGCTGTGCCTGCTCGATGACGTGCTGATCACGGGCCGCGACGACCGAGAGCACATCGATCGGCTGAATGCGGTCAGCGGCTGCAGGATGCAGGCTTAACGTTGAACAAAGATAAGTGCGAATTTTTCAAGGACGAAATAAAATATTTGGGTTACGTTATTACTAAGAACGGACTAAAAAAATCGCCAGAAAAAGTTAAGGCAATCATAGAGGCACCCGTGCCTACGAACGTTTCACAGCTGCAATCCCTCTTAGGATTAGTAAACTACTACAAAAGTTTCGTCCCGGGCGCCTCAACAATTTTATCTCCATTGCACAATTTGCTAAAAAAAAGGCACACAATGGAATTGGAGTAAATTACATGAGAAAACTTTCAATAAAATTAAAAATATATTAATTTCGGAACAGACATTAGCCCATTTTAATCAAAATGCAAAACTCTATTTAACAGTCGACGCGTCACCAAATGGCTTAGGCGCAATATTATCGCAAATCGACGATGACGGATTAGAAAGGCCGATATCTTATGCGTCTCGTACCTTAAATAGCGCCGAGAAAAAATATTCTCAGATACAAAAGGAGGCAACTGCGATAATATTCGGCGTGCGTCGGTATCATCAATACGTATACGGCCGGTCTACTCCATTCACATTACGTACAGACCACAAACCATTATTGTCAATTTTTGGTTCACATAAAGGCAACCCGGAGGTATCCGCAAATAGATTGCAAAGGTACGCACTGTTTCTAAGCGCTTATAATTATGTAATAGAATATGTGCGTAGTTGTAATAATAGCGCGGACTTCCTTTCGCGAGCAAGTGTTGAGGACCCTGTTGAAGAGACGGGGCACAAGGAAGAGCTGGATAGGGCAGCCTATGTGTGTTTTGTGACGCAAGGTGGTTTGCCCGTGACAGCAGACCAGCTTCGACAGGCTACGGCTAATGACGCGACCCTGACTAAGGTTAAGCGGGTTAAAGATACAGAAATTAATCCGTATTATCAATGTAGGTTACAACTATCGTATGAAAACGGGTGTGTACTTCGAGGTCATAAGGTGGTGATCCCCTTTTCTTTGAGGCAACGTGTTTTATCGAAATTACACCATTCTCACCTCGGTATTGTAAAAACCAAAGCTGAGGCTCGATCACGGTTTTGGTTTCCGGGGATTGATGACGAGCTGAAAAAGATGATTGGGGCCTGCGAAGTTTGTTTACAGTTGCGAGCATCACCTCCGCGCGTACCTATGTCACCGTGGCAGTTACCTCCCCGACCATTCTACAGGATACACCTGGACCTGCTGGGTCCGATAAACGGCCATATGTATCTAGTCATAGTCGATACCTACTCGAAATGGGTCGAGGTATTCGATATGTGTACCACAACTACTTCTAGTGCGGTAATAGACAAAATGCTCGAGTTTATGTCTAGGTTCGGAATACCTCACACCTTGGTTTCTGATAATGGCACATCGTTTTGTTCCGAAAAATTCATTAGATTTTGTAATTTAAATGGTATAAAACATGTGAAGTCGCTTGCATATCATCCGGCTAGTAATGGTCAAGCCGAGAGCTATGTGAAAATTGTCAAAAAGGGTATTAAATCTAGTCTCGTAACAAGAATGTAAAATAAGCATTCTACAATATCTTTTTAATTATCGTAATTCGATTCATTCTACCACAGGTTCATCACCAGCTCACCTAGTTTTTGGGCACAAATTAAGATCGCGGTTAGACCTAATTAATCCGATACAGCCGACCCCTTCGTCTATAGAACTTGCCAATAACGTAAAGTCTAAACAGTGTTCGCAGGTTAAATCTTATGGAGGTAAAATAAAAAAATTGTTTTCAACGGGAGAGTCTGTATTATATAAAAAATATTGTAATAATAATAAGTTTTCATGGGCTAAAGGAACAATTGTGGAAAAAATTGGTAACATG